AACCGAAATACTCACACTGAAGTCCACTGAGCCCAGAAACCAATGGGTGATGTCACCATCTTTCAGGAAAAAGAAAATGAATGATACCAGCAGACGAACAGCTCCAGCCACACTCATATTTTTCAAATCTTACTCAGCCTTTCTCTGCATTCACTCCTCTCCTCCCTTCTCTGTTTCCTTCCACCCACGTCACAGCAAACAGCATAGACTCTTTCACATAATGCTATCGCAGACATGGAGGCAGACACACAAGAGCTTTCATGTTCGGTACATTAAGTCATCAATACATAACCGGGACACTGAGAAGCATATTAAACACTCGCATGTGCATCCAAAACAAACACACACTGTGCTTTCCCCTTTGGCCCTGCTGCAGATAAAGCAGCGCAGCTTACTCAGCTGTGTGCTGATCCACCGTCAACACACAATCATGTAAAAAGAGTTTCACTCCCTTTAAACCACCAAAGTACATCTAATGTTAGGACTGCTGCACTCTCTCCCGAACACGTTGCGGTGTTTCTGATGATCTAAGACTTTAATTATGTTCGGGTTCCTGCCCAAAGCAGCCTGTGGTCATCTCCCCACCACGCTCCCAGTAGCAAGGTCATATTTTCTGATTCCTCTCAACAACCCAGTAGAGAAGATCAGCTTTGCCACGCTTTAGAAACACTGTGGGAAATTCACACAGAAAAGCACGGTGCTAACTTCTACGACAGGTTGCTGAAAACATTCACACGGACACTCAAAGCTGAAAATAAGTTTCAGCCTGGCCTTGGCTGCGCTTCGAGGGGAAATGTATGTTTGCTTAAGCCGAGCAGCTAGAAACATGACTGCAGACAGCCTCGAATGGAACAAAAAGAGAAGAAGGGGAAATGTGCTAGCAGCCTAAAGGAGCTGATGTGTATTAGCAGGAATTCACAGTCAGTTTCCACGAGCAGATCAGATTACTGGCTCCGAAAACAGTTTAGTGTCTGCGCTTTAGTCAGTCGGTCAGTCACACTACATCCATTGTAATTTGGCTGACTCTCCTCCTAATGGACACGTGTGAAGGACATGCAAGCAAGCCAGTCCCTTATAACGAGTGAAAATGAAACCGTGTGCTCTCGCGTGCCATCTGAACGCGCAACGTTTTTAGCGAGACAAAAACCTGCCAGAAGACAAAGGGGGTGTGTACACAGACACGTTTTTTTCCCCAGCTGAGAACACTGGACGCTCTTTTGTAAATGCCCAGCTGGGAGTGTTTGAGAGCGCTTCGAAAGCACAGCATTTTTTTTTCTTCAGCTGTGATGCTTTGGTTGCTATGATACAGAATATTCATGGGAAAAATGTATTGCAAGCTCAGTGGTTTTCAAACTGTGGGGTGCGCTCTACTGGTGGGACACAGACAACCAGTGGAAAAGTATCAGTTTGAATGATTAGGATTTTTATCATTAGTTGTTATTCTTAACTTAACTGGTACATCAACAGTAAACGAAATGTTTTTCAAGCAATAAATTTCATATCGCTTTTGGTTGTTTGGGCGATTTCACTCGGTAAAGACACAAATGCTTGGATGGCAGCCGAATTAAACTCAGCTCTGTTGTTTTTCAGCACTTGGTTGGTCTTCCATTTGGTATCCTCTTACACTGTAATTGGATGGCTGGGTAAACAGCAGCCACACTGTTGGCAATCGCGGTAAAATTGCGGCGCTGCTACTGAAAATGACTAAAAAAATAACAGCCATGCTTTGGTCTACAAACCCACAACCTCTTGTAAAGGTGCCGGCTACACATGAGGCTAACATGCAATGGTGTGCCTGCAGTGATATACCACCAAAACCCTGGTTGGTGTGGGGTTTTTATACATGTGAACATCTGCTTGCAGAATAATAGACGATCTATTTTTGCAAAAGAGAAATAAAACAAAAGTTAAGCTGTCTTTTTGTAACCGCAGGACCACATGTGCATACACAGCAAAGGCAACGACATTGGTCGTCTTCCGATTCTCATCTATATATGTTCCACCAGCTCTGCAAGCTGTTCGTTCTCGTTTACGTGCCCCTCCCTCCCCTTTCCAATTCTTTACTTCTTCACTTCTATTTAGTACATGGGGATCCGCCAGGCCGGGAACCGCCGCCTTCCCCAAACCGCAGCTCAATTCATGTCCAAGCTCTTCACCTATCTACTAAAATGCTGTCAAACCTAAAATCAGGACGTGGGCCCAGCGAGTAAACAGTCTATTAAACCCTCTTCGCCACTAAGAAACAAAAGAGTGCAGAGGAAGATTTAGGAAGAAAAGTAACATGAAAATTATTGGTTTGCTGAGATAAAAAGCAAGTAGCATGAATTCTGATTGAAATGAAACCATCAGAGAGAAGATAAGAAAGGAATCAGAATAATAAAAACTCTGCTATAAAGCTTCAGCAGACATTTAAGTAGCTGCTAAGAGCAACATATAATGACTTTTTTCCATTTTACTTTGTTGCTTTTTTTTTTAAACTTTTCTATCTGGATACAAAAGCTGCTCTTCGTTACTTCTCATTTGTGTTAATTATATTTCTCTTTTCAAGCCATCCCGCGCCTTTGTGGCCTTTTCCTGACAGTCTGTGATCTTCTGCAGTTACTTGATTCGATTCACTTTTCGACAAAAGCACATTTAGCACAGCTGCCTCAGAAAATGGGTTTGAATTCCCTCCAGGCGTATGGGGGATGTGCGGTTCTCTGCATGTCTTTGTGGGTTTTGTTCATATCCCAAAAAACATGCATGTATTAAGAAATATTCCTGCCTTTGCCACTGAGCTAGAACTTGAGGACAGGAACCATGTTGTAGCCTCCCTGCATGCTGATACTGCCTGGCTTGTGCATAACTTCTGCCACATCATATTCTGTTTTTGTGTTTGCATCCTCGTGGAGAGCAGTGCAAAGGCATCGGCTGCAACTCTGGGTCTGAATAATCTCCCTGGTGATTTTTTTTCCCTTCTCCTCAACTTTCAGGGTGAGCTTGGTGAGAACCACTAACCCGTTACAAATAAACCTGAGGTGGGTAGACGCTCCCATCCAGTCTAACTCTATAGATGCTCAGGGGGAGGACGTTGGCAAGGAAGAAGAGGCGGCGAATGCTGAAAAATGACACAAGGAAATGACCGCAGCTGGCTGTCACCATCATTAAGTGCGATGGATGTTGCTATGGAAACAGCCCAAAGTTCAGGCCCGGGCAAACACAGGTGAGCGTCTGTGTGAGAGAGAAAGAATAAGAGACTCCAAATGAGATGACCTTTTGAATTTTCATCTCGTGCTGAACATTTGAAGAAGCTTTTTTCTTAATTAACAAAAACTGAGACTCCGATACTTTTTCTTTGAAAGCCGAGTAGATACACTATGCTAATAACATGAAAAGTGGATCCCGTGGCGACACGCTTATGAAGAAGGAAACCCAAATTTTTACTTTAATGAATGAAAACATGATTTTTTATTCACTTGGGGTTTTTTGTCAAGTATTAAAATTTGTTTCAAGATCTCAAATGTGACAAATATGCAAAAAAACTAGGAAATCTGGAAGGTGATAACCTCTGTCTCTCTTCCACAGCATGTCTTTATCCTGTCTTCCTTCTCTCACCCCAACCAATCACAGCAGATGGCCCCGCCCCTCCCTGAGCCTGGTTCTGCTGGAGGTTTCTTCCTGTTAAAAGGGAGTTTTTCCTTCCCACTGTCGCCAAAGTGCTTGCTCATAGGGGGTCATATGATTGTTGGGTTTTTCTCTGTATCTATGAAGCGCCTTGAGGCGACTTTTGTTGTGATTTGGCGCTATATAAATAAAATTGAATTGAATTGAATTGAATTGATGAATATTTGTTCACAGCACTAAACATAAAGTACTTTGAATACATGATAAGCATAATAGAAAGATGACAGTCATTGCACTTTGTGTCCCACTGGCATTGTTTTTACCATGCACCATGCTTTTATGTTCAGTATCCTGTCAGCTTTATTTACACAGCACAAATTCATAACAATTGTAATCTCAATGTACTTTCTAAGGCACTATAAGGGACTATATGATAGACAGAAACTTAGCAATCCAATAATCCGGCTCCCTGTGCTTGTATGGATGCTCTGGCTTCCTCCCACAGTCCAAAGGCAAGCATGTGAGGTTAAGAGGTGCTTCTAAATTAGCTGTAGGTGTGAATGTGAGTGTAAACGGTTCCCTGTCTGTGACCTGTGACCTGGATAAGTACATACTACACAAAGAAAGCACAGTTATTTTACAAATGTTAAAAAAAGTCACTCCTCTAACACAGACACAGTAAAAAATGCAGATTTGATTTCGAGTGTGTGACTCCACACTGTACCAATGCTGCTCAGGCGCTAAAGCTGTTTAATTTTATGTGCTTACTTTATTTCCAATACAAATTTCCCTGTTGGTCCCATAAAGTGATCTTAAGTTATGAATCTTGTGGTGCTTGCTTTCAAAGGAAATGTTAACGGGGACCTATCGCTGATATTTCCTGTCATGTATGTGATCACCGGTCAGTATTCTGTGTTTCACAGCTGGAACTGAGAGTTTCTTAGTAATTCAAAGCTTTATTGCTTTATTTATTTGTAGAGGTGATATCAGATGTAGGCTATGAGAGCACTGCACCATGGGAATACTCTGTGAGAGTTTTTAACAGAAAGCTGTGATTCATTAAATCATCAGTACATTTAAAATTCATCGTATCCTAAAGCACAGTAGTACTATTACTTGTTCTGCCTGGGTCATTGTTTAATGATTGAAAGCTTGATTTAATTATGAGTGACAGATTACTACTTGGCTTCAGGTCAGGATGGAGCTCTCACTATAAATCACTGGAGGCTTTGCAATATGATCCTCTTTATGGCGAAGGTAGAAAATGTAAAATGTCAACTAGAGAAAATAAACTCATTTAAATGTTTCTGTGTGAGTGTCTGAAATGACCATTTTTGAGATCCTAGCACTTAACAGCATTTCGTTTTTGAACTGTGGCTCGTTCAGGCTTGTGCTTTAGAGAAGATGGATGTGTTACTGTGGCCTAACATGTGTTTTGGTTTTGCTGACTTGAGTTCAATGGTTTGGATAGAAGGCTGAAATTGTCAGAGTTTATGTAACATATAATCCTCTTGGTTCTGCTGGTGATTTACTGGTAGGTGCCCTGTATTTTCCCTGGTCCCGCATGATTGTTTACATATGTGTGATATTAGGTACTGTCTTAGAGCAAGGCTGGGAGATGGAGCTCAGCAGCT